TAGCTCCCTAACTACGTCAAAGACAGTTGGCACGATAAATCCCCCAAGACGAGTAGGATTAATATGCCTGGCAGGATGGAATTCCGCGACCCTGAGCTGCATAATGCCTTTCCAAGGAAGGTGCCCTTATAAGGCCCTATCAAGCCACAACATACCGACCCAAACGCCCGCCACGCCGCCCGCCCACAAATGGACGACCGTTCCTGACACTCTAATCAATTCATTTGCTAAGCAAATTATGAAGCGAAGGGATTGGTATGAAGCGGCCGTGATGCTGCATGGATATATGAGTACACATATGCAGCCGTACCTTCGGTAGCGGTTATTGGCAAGATGCCTACGGGAAACTCGTCCAAAATTGATTACTAACACACTGAGAACGGAGGCTCTTTCTTCGGATTTTGACCGTTTCACTCCGTTCTTTCGCCATTTCCCCACTATATAGCGCCCTACTAGCATTTTAGGCCGAGCACAAATCGTGCCAACTGCCTTTAAGCCAAGCTTTCTGTGATAAATTGAAAAATCACCGTATCAGGAGGTAGTTGAAAGGATGTCGTGCGCATCTGAATATGTGAATTGCCTTGGTCTTCATAAAGCGCTAACCATTCCCGCATCATGTGCACCAAACTTGGCCTCTTCGATATCGGCACTGCTGTGGAATGGAAACGTGGCAGGAGCCGGGCCAGCAGCGTACATACTCTGAAAAAAGAACTTTCAATTCCCGCTTCCTTCTTACATATTACCAAAAAATGACTATCTTCAATCAGCCCCACCTGGGATCCGCCACTTCGTGATGATCCACAGGTCGACTAGGAATGTATTCTTCAAATCGTCCACCAGGAAAAATCCCTAGTAGCTTTGGACCGAGACCACTTTCTGAAAAGATGTTAGAATTGCATTTTCCACAATATGATTACAGTATGTCAACCAGTGCCGGCTCTAGGAGCTACACACAATTAGTATCGGTGGAGACGTACGTATGTTTTGGCGCAGTGCCGGCTCGTTTCCACAAGTTGCCACTTTTGAGAGGATATTTTTTTTGAGATAAATTGTAATCATATCACTTGCCCAGCATTAGAGTTGCTTCATGTCGTAGTATCCCACGAAGAATCCCACAGTGCCACTAATCCTGGTTTGAACGAGGTACGCCGCCACGCCTACCGCATCTCAGGGGTATGGAATGTATCTACGATACGCCTCTACCTGACGTTCCGACAAGCACTCTACATATATATGGTCCCTGCAATCGACAGGGCGTGTGACGCTGAATGCTTGCCATCCGAGGCTGGTTCCCTGACACCGTACTCGCACGTGAAGAGGAGAACTGGTTTTGCATTGAAGCGGTGTAAACCCCAACAATTGTGTCATTCTGAATCCGCAGCAATTGGCGGAGAGGGGGTATCTCCTCTCCGCTACTTGCTATTTCACACCCCTTCACATGCACTGTCGTTTGCAGGGTTCATGACTATGCATACACCCCCGCTGAGTCCTCAGCAACTTTATCAGCGAGAAAAAAAAGCCCTGCATGCAAACTCGCAAGAAACCACATTTCAAAACTGTACATTTTTTTCATGGAGCACTGAAATGGTAAGCAAGGCTACCGTATATCGTTCTGGAAGTCCCTTACACCGGCAGGGCACAGCATTCGATGGGGATTTTGGTCGAGCTTTTACGACCCCCCCCCCTTTTTTCAGGGGCTGGTACGACCCCCCCCCTTTTTTTTCAGGGGCTGGTACGACCCCCCCCCCCCATGGCTCCTACGATGGCTGACATGGCTGACTATGGTTGTGGTTTATACTCGGCGAAAAAGTTGTCGAGCGGGGGGTATGTAGTAAGCAGTGCGACGTACATGGTACGGGCGTACATACTAGCTATAACACAGTAAATTCATAAAAATCCACCAAGTGAACCACATAATTCCTAGCCAGAAATACGACCCCCCCTCCCCACAACGACCAAATTACGACCCCCCCCTCCGAAACGTCCGCAAGGAGAGAAAAATCAACTATAAAAATAAATTTTTCCCAGCCCAAATACGACCCCCCCTTTTGGCGGCCAAATACGACCCCCCCCATAGGGAATCCCCAACCAATGCTGTGCCCTGAACCCGCCCTACAAAGCTATATTTTACGTTCTAGAATGATGGACAAAAACTATTTTACTATCTTTGTGTCGCTCGAACATGACGAAAACAATGAAGACTATGAGCAAATTATTTTCTAGCACCCACCTGCTAAAGAAGTGAACACGACAAGTTCATTGAGCAGTTTCTCGTGATCGGTTTGTGACTGGATTCGCAGTAGTACAGTCGACGGCTGATCGTCCGATGATGAGAATTTTGATCGGCTCACCAAATAGACAAGGTTTGTCAGTCCGCCGCCTATAAGCAGAAGTATTGGAATTTGCTTGCTATGTCGAGCTAGGCCAAGAAATGCGCTTCGGGTATAGGAGCAGAGGGATCAGTTCGACGACGGGAGGGAAGGGGCGTTTCGCACGTTTGCTACTTCCCATCGACGTGTCGAGCCATCTAGAGAGCTATTCTGAGCTTACACGAGTTGGCATGTTTTACCATGGTGGCTCGGTGACTTGCTCCAGCTCACAGGAGGTCACAGGTTCTATCAGAGTCAGACTTGTAAACTGGAACTAGTGAAGCAGTGAAGCAAAATGCCCCCTCGTCGCCGTACTGCGCCGGATTAGAGTGCTATAAACAGCGCAGTTCTCGGGAGAATATCTGCCTTAGAAAGGGATCTTACCGTACGTGACTGATTGAGACTTTGTCCGGATGTATATCGACCCATTTACCTCCAAGAACGTCACTACACAACGAAAGGATTTTAGTCCGAAGGTCCAGTTCATCATGTGATTTAAAATAGTTCTGAAACAACGAAATATAAGCGGACTACCATTGAATCAG